AATTAGCGGGCGAATTAATGGGGAGTCACTCTGCGCCGAGAAAACATTGGGTTTCTTATAGCGCCGTGACTTTCGTCGCAATATTAATTTTTTCATTGCAGAGATTAAGGGATGAAACGGGGGTTGAAGGATGGGGAATTTAATTCTCCGTCGAACAGCATTGGTTTAATTCCTTAATGTTAACTAGGAGTAGAGATACGATTTTTTAATTAGCGGGCGAGTTGTCGGGAGTCACTGCGCCGAGAAACCATTGAGTTTTTCATAGCGCCGCGACTTTCGTCGCAGTTTTTATTTTTTTATTACAGAGATTAAGGAATGAAACGGGGGTTGAAGGATGGGGAATTTAATTCTCCATCGAACAGCATTGGTTTCATTCCTTAATGTTAATTAGGAGCAGAGATACGATTTTTTAATTAGCGGGCGAGTTGTCGGGAGTCACTGCGCCGAGAAACCATTGAGTTTTTCATAGCGCCGCGACTTTCGTCGCAGTTTTTATTTTTTTATTACAGAGATTAAGGAATGAAACGGGGGTTGAAGGATGGGGAATTTAATTCTCCATCGAACAGCATTGGTTTCATTCCTTAATGTTAATTAGGAGCAGAGATACGATTTTTTAATTAGCGGGCGAGTTGTCGGGAGTCACTGCGCCGAGAAACCATTGAGTTTTTCATAGCGCCGCGACTTTCGTCGCAGTTTTTATTTTTTTATTACAGAGATTAAGGAATGAAACGGGGGTTGAAGGATGGGGAATTTAATTCTCCATCGAACAGCATTGGTTTCATTCCTTAATGTTAATTAGGAGCAGAGATACGATTTTTTAATTAGCGGGCGAGTTGTCGGGAGTCACTGCGCCGAGAAACCATTGAGTTTTTCATAGCGCCGCGACTTTCGTCGCAGTTTTTATTTTTTTATTACAGAGATTAAGGAATGAAACGGGGGTTGAAGGATGGGGAATTTAATTCTCCATCGAACAGCATTGGTTTCATTCCTTAATGTTAATTAGGAGCAGAGATACGATTTTTTAATTAGCGGGCGAGTTGTCGGGAGTCACTGCGCCGAGAAACCATTGAGTTTTTCATAGCGCCGCGACTTTCGTCGCAGTTTTTATTTTTTTATTACAGAGATTAAGAGATGAAACGGGGGTTGATGGATGGGGAATTTAATTCTCCATTGAACAGTCTTTGTTTCATCCCTTAATATTAATTAGTCGGCGAATAAATCAACTGAAAAACATAAAGTAAACATTGAGTACAAGGAGGACAAAACTGCCCCTCCGAACTTGTCCCTGTGACAGCGGCACTGCTACTGCCGAGCAGTGTTGCCAGCTGGCGACCTCTGGCC